CGCGTCGTGTACTCTGAATTTGGGCAGAATCTATAGATAAGAGAGCAAGCTGAATATCTGCTTCATTTGACTGCATGAGCAGAGCGCGGCGTGGAGGCATTGTGTGTTAAGATAGAGTAGGTGATCAAAGTTGGTGGGGTGACCGACTCGCTTGTCTGACCGACTTGCTTGCCAACCATGTTATTAAGTTTAAGTATAAGAAAGATATTACCTTTTAAGGGCTACTTTACATATAAAGTAAGAGCTAATTAAGAACACTAGTAGTAAAGCACTTATACACCTCTACCCTAGAAATCCTAGACAATTAACTAGAGGGCTAAGAAATTACTAATATTAAAGTAGCACTTAGCGCAGTAAACTAACAGGACACTACTAACTATCTACTATAGAAGTTATTTATACTTAACTTAGGTTCTACCTATTATATTACTAACAACCCTAACTGCGTCTATAGGTTCTAACAGCTATTACCTAGAGACTTTATATAGGCTAGGAATTCTAAGGTGCTAGTTCGAGGATATAGATTAATTAATCTACTCCTAAGGAGTGGATCTAGGACAACTAAGGTCACCCTTATAGATGTGGCAATTTGTCTAGACCTGCTATGCAACCTAGTGTCCTTCTGCCTACTACAAAACAGAGGTATATAGTAGGACATATAAGTAGACCTAATAAATCTCTAATAAGTAAATAGCTAATGTTGCATCCAAAATAGAGGCAAAATGTATATACATTTGCACCCCTGAATTGGCTGGTAAATAGGCATGATATCTGCTGCGACACACCCCCTCACGTCCAACCAGGACAGCATAATTAGAGGTGACACAACGCAGCAGAATGCCTAATGTGCTAAGTAATAGATGAATCCTTCTTCGCGATGCTCTATTGCTGCAGATAGCACGCCAACAGAGCAGGTACCATGCCAAGACCCTCAGCTATAGTCACCTATAGAACACGAAAATCCATTCAATCTTTGCTTGCGCAGTTTCAGCGTCTGGGCTCATAACTGTTGCAGCTAAAATAGAGGCAAAATGTACATACATTTGCACCCCTGAATTGGCTGGTAAATAGGCATGATATCTGCTGCGACAGCTAAGTAATTAGAGTAGTATTAGAAATGCTTAGCTAGTAGGTGCTTAAGTATAAACTGTCCCTACTAGCTGCTAACTACACACATAAAATTACCACACGCACTAAGAGAGAACTACAGAAGGCCTTAGCAATATAGTAGCACAGGCGACTTAGTCACCCTAGTCTAGCTGCAATTAAACACATTGTCTAGCAGACTTAGGGGGTGTACATCTAAGGCATTACTACAGTTAAATACAACGCTTGTAGAATAGCTAAATTGTAACAGCAAATTAGCTGCACACTAAGAATTAATAATAACAGACCTAGAGAAAGACTTAGTATTAACTTCTACTCCTATAAAGTATAAGGAGTTACTAAAGAAAAGAGCTAGATACTTATTACTAATAGGTTCTTAGGCCTATAGTAGGACCTCTACTTTATAGATTATTATATAGTAAAGTTAATTATTAAGGCACTGTTAATATTTATCCTATTCTTAAAAAACTACTAACGTGATCCACCATCGCTTCGGCCACACCATCAATTCGGCCACCCTGATGTAGCTGCCTACCTCTCAACCATAATAACTTAACGCCATAACAAGCAATTAGGATAAAAAATATATATAATTACTTACCTAATTCAGCTGCATTTCTTCTACATGTGCGCATATTGTGGCCTGCGTTGCCGCATCCTTTGCAGCGTGGAGTTGACCGCCTGGTGACACCCGCCAGCCGCCTCTCTGCACGCCTCTCCTTAACCACCTGCTCCGCCACCTCCCTCTTAGCAATTATTACCTCTGCCTCTGCCTGTGATAGGGTCCCTCCTTCCTAGATACGCTTTTTTTTGCGACTTTTACGTGCAGAAGTAGTGTTGTTAGCCACCTCTAAGTTAGCGATCTGAGCAGCTAAAAGCATCTAAGAATAAACTATTATTTCAGCTCCTTTCTAGAACTGCCGCACTATCTTAATTATTAAAGCTAGAGATAAGCTGCTGTGCGTTTAAATCTAGTTTAAGAGTAAGGTTAATTATACACCTATCTTAAGCGTGTTGCTTAGAGTCCTTAGTTGCCAGGAGGTGGTAGTTAGCAGAGGTGGAGTTGGCGTACAAAGCTTTATATTAAGCTTTAATAGCACCACCCCTAGGTTATCTAGAACTAAACTAGCTGCTCTAAAGCTAGATCTAATATTATTAGACAAGAAAACACCCTTATACACCTTACTGTAGGTGTCTAGGAATGCTTTCTTGTTAATATAGTTAATATAGCTATTTACTAAGGCTCTAATCTCTTTCTTGTACGCACACTTTAATGTGGCAAAATAACCTATATTAAGTAGCTAAAGGAGGTGTAAGGCATAAGCAGGTATATAAAGGGTAATAACCTTACTTTCTTTATACTTGTTTTAAAAAAAAAGTAATTAGTAGCTCCTATAACGTACTCTATCACCGAGCTAGTTATATCACCAAACCAGTCACTTAAAATCCCACCAAAAAACACAGAAACCATACCCCTGCATCTTAATAACTACTTAATGGAATCTTCTAAAAACTTCAGAATAGAGCTGCATCTATACTAATAAAACTATTTAAAAGTCTTAGACTAATAGCTAGTATAGATGTTGAGATAGCCTGCAGCTACCCCTGTATTTCAGTATCTTCTAAACAACATCTGCAATATAGGGCTAAGCACTCTAAGACTTTTAAACAGTCTTATTAACGTAAACCCCCAGCACCCAGGCCAACCCAGCACCCGGGCCAAAAAAGCTTGGCAGTACCAACTCACGTTACAACTCTTTAATTTCATCGCTATTTAACATAGAGCCTGCGTACACTGTGCTTGTATCTAATTTAGAATATGCCTCTATATCTTTTTTGCACGTTCGCGCATTGTGTCTAGTCCCTCCACAGTTTCTACAGCGCTGTAGAGCTAGTTAAGCTTGTTCTTGATCACCACCACCACAAGCCTTCTTTGACTGCTCAGCGGCTACAGAGGCCTCTGTGGCCACCTGAGCTGCTGCCTCACCATACTCTATAGTACTACCTTGCTAGATCTGCTTCCTTTTGCGCGATTTCTACTTAGTTATTACTGCTAATTGCTCTTTAAGCTTAGTAATCTAGGCTGCTTAAAGCGCGTTCTAATGCAGCATAAGCTCGCTGCCTCTAACAAGCTAAGAGAAGCCTGCTTACGCAGTAATAGGTAACTAAGTAAAAGACTTGCGTACAAGCTTTAACTAAGATCTAAACTTGTAGGTATTGCTTAGAGTCTTTAACTGCTACAGCGTCTCTAGGAGGAGGGGTTCTAGTGGGGTACGCAGGCGCACTTTAAGGCAATCTAACACAACCTGCGCGTTAAGAGGGACTAGCCCTGCTGCCTTAAAGGCCTTGTAATAGTTCTCTACTGTAAATATATTAAAAAACGCGTCCTTAAAGGTAGGGAGGAAGCCTTCTTTATTAATATAGAAGACGCGCTTGCGTGCTAAGTCTTGTACGCGCTAAGAGTACTTACACTTTAATAGTAAGAAGCAGACTACATTAAGCAGCTAGAGGATGTGCAATAAGTGAGGTAGTATATAGAGGGTAAGGATTATGTTTTTAAGGCAGTAGTCCTTAAAATCCTGGTTAAGGTGGCTCTTATGGCCGTCCAAAATAAGCAGCCTGTACGCCCCCACCTAGCTCGCCTTTGTATGCGCGTCGAAGTGCTTCAGCCACTCAAGGCTGAGCGCGTTGTTTGTCCAGCCGCTCTCGGAGACGGAGAGCTTCTAATTGCGTGGTATATCTGCCTCCTCGTACTAGGCAGAGATGTGAACGCGTCCTTTGTAGATAATGAAAGGCAGGGTACAAGATCTAGCAGCGCAGACGCTCTAGATGACTGTTACCCACTTGCAATCACCTAGCTGAACAAGCTAAGGTTAATTACGTCTCTCTGTGCCTGTAACAACCTTTATTAAGCTAATAACACCTATCTAGAAGCTAGTCTTATTAAAGTTGTGCATGTTGTGGTTGTGTACGCTGTATTTAGCTTTTGTGTCCTCTACTAGCTTAAACTACGCGCTGATTGTCTCTGGATCCTCCTCCAGCATCCTCTGCCTATCTTTAGCTCAATTAAAGGCTATCTTGAGCGTAGCTGAACGCGTCACGAAGCGCTCAGCCCAGTGCTTGCTAACAGGCTGCCCACCGCGTACACCCAACAGTTTGTCAGCCATATCTGCCACCTCGTACAGCTAGGGCGCGAATCCTTGCGAATTAAGGTCAAGAATGTATTGTACAATTGTTTGCTCTTTAGTGCACGTAAGCTTATATTGTGCGTTGCGTCTATTGTTAATATAGAGTCTGCCTCTATACCTAGCACTTAAGGTTGTACGCAGTACGTTAAATGCCTAAGCAGCGCTTTAGAGGCTTTTAAATTTATATAATTAGAAAGTAGAAAGGGCAAGATTAATTCTACCCTCTTGTTTAGATAATTGCGCATCTTGTTAGCAAGGCATTAACGTACTCCACAGGCGAGTCGCCCACACAGGCGAGTCGCCCACTTTTGCCAAGCCCCCACCAAACCTCACCCTATTATTGCCTAAAACACCACAAACAGGCGCTGTACAAGGCAAGACAAGCTGTAATATTACTTAGAGACTACTTCTACATTATTCTTGCACATTCACGTGTTATGTCTAGTCTTACTACACTGTCCACAGCGCCTTTAGGTCAGCTTAGCCCTATTAGCGCGCACCTGCTTCTTTACCTTCTTACTATTACTACACGCCCTAAACTCTGTTAGAGCTGTTAATTGCTACCCCTCCTTAACTATTAGGGTCCTTTCTACCTTAACTTGCTTTCTTTTGTGTAATTTTTGTTGTGTAGCTGCCTTATTTGCTGCTTAAAGCTTAGTAATCTCCTGTTGCGCTAACACTAGTCTGTGCGTAATTATTGCTACCCCCTTTAATACCTTCTTAAACGCTTTAACTATAGAGGTAGGTAAGCTATCTATATACCTCTAAATCCTTGTCTTTATAAGTGTTAATTACAACCTAAGTTTAAGGGTGTTGCTTAGGGTTTGTAACTGCTAGAGCACGTTGTTAATAGGTAGTAGTAGTGATAGAGTGCGCAGCTTCACATTAAGGCTGCTTATAACCTATTCTAGGTTAAACAGGACTAGTCTAGCGCCTTAGAACCCTCCCTAGATATTGCTAGGAGTAATTACAGCGTTGTAGGCGCGTATAAAGCATAGCAGGAACTTAGTCTTTGTAATATAGTTAATCTAGTTGCGTATAAGTATTTTAGCTTAGCGCCTATACGCCTTCTTTAAAGTAGCAAAATAACCTATATTAAGGGGCTGTGTAAGGTGTAATAAGTGAGCAGGTAAACAGAGCGCAATAATCTTACTATCCTTGCAGTATTGCTAGAATTTAAGAGAGTTGTAGCTCTTATAACTATTAATAATAAGCAAATAGTAGGTGCTAATAGTACGCTCCTTTATATGCCTGTTAAAGTGCTTTATCTAGTCTAGACTAAGCTTGTTAGTAGTTTAGCTGTTATTAGAGACTCTAATAACCTAGTCTTAAGGCAGATCCTCTTCTTTGTACTAGGTAGAGAGGTAGTAGTAGGCCTTAAAGATAAGGAAGGCTAGGATAGCCTATCCTTTAGCATTAATGCTCACTATAGCTGTAGCCTACTCCTAGTTGCCTAGTTAGACAGCCTTTAGCTAACCTTGTTGTTCTAAAGCTATAACAACTGCTCCTAGGGAGATCTAGCCTATTATAAAGCCTGTCTTATTAAAGTTGTATATGTCTTTATCCTAGATGCTATACTTAGCTTTGACGTTAGCTACTAGGCTAAACTAGCCCTGCAGAACCTTAGGATCCTTACAGAGAGCTCTCTTGTAGTTGTACTTGCGATTAAACTTGACTTTAAGCTTAGGGTATTGCTTAACAAATATACTAGGCTAGTTTATGCTAATAGGGCCTAGATTGCGCTTAGCGCGCAAAGAATTGGCCATAGTAGCTATATCTAAGAGCTGAGGGGAAAATCCTTGCAAGTCTAGCTTAAGGACATGTTTAATAATCACCTTCTCCTTATTATTGTCTAGCTTCTGCAAGTTAGCTATAGAATTAGCGCGTGAAGGTTGTCCTGTGTATTGGTCGCTTAGTGTCTTTTAAGGAACCCTGTAGATAGCTGCAGCGCGTTGCTAAGAGAGAGTCGCGTCTTGTTTAAGAGCCTGGAGCGCAAGCTGTATCTAAGCTTCCTTTAACGCGTCTAAATGGTGGTGTTGAGGAGGCATTAGTGTAGGAAGGGTGGTTTGGTGGGGGCTTTGCAAAAGTGGGCGACTCGCCTGTGTGGGCGACTCGCCCGTGGAGTACGTTACGTGTTAATATTAATAGTTGTGGTCTTGGCAAGAAATGGCCTGGGTGCTGGGTTGGCCTGGGTGCTGGGGGTTTACGTTAGTATAGATGCAGCTCTATTTTAAAGTTTTTAGAAGATTCCATTAAGTAGTTATTGAGATGCAGGGGTATGGTTTCTGTGTTTTTTGGTGGGATTTTAAGTGACTGGTTTGGTGATATGACTGGCTCGGTGATAGAGTACGTTAGTATTAAATATTAAAAAATTGCGAAATTTCATGTACAGATAGAGCGAAATTGTAGCTTCAAAATGGGCGAAAAATTATTGTTGTAGGCCTACTACAACGCGAGTTATAGAGCGTTGAAGGTTTGTTTGTTAAGGTTTGTGTTTTGAAGTTGCGACAGCACACCATGGCAGCTGCAGCTGCGCCAGCACACAATGTATCAGCTGCAACTGCAATAGCACACGACGCGGTAGGCTGGCGGAATGGGTATACTCCAACGTCCTTCGTGGGTACCCCCCAAAACTTTGTCAATAATACATGGATTCTAGCAAAATAGGGCTTAAAAGAAAGAGAAAAACTACCTCTATATTTCTGTAGTAGAGGGTTTTGTTATAACTATTAAACTGCACAAGCTAGAGGCTAGAAAAGGTTAAAAAAGGGGGGGTACCTAGCGAGCATACCCATTAATAGGTATACTTTGCTAGGTAGTGTTAATAACTTAGCTAATACTAGGCAGAATGAGCTAATTCTTTTTTTAATTAGAAGGCGCAATACTAGGCGCTTCTATCAAATAATAGATTATGTAAGCGTATCTCTGCTAGTTAAGAAGCTATAAGCCAAAACGTAAAAAAGCATACCCTACCCATCCGCCAGCCTACGACGCGGCAGCTGCAACAACACACAACAAAGCACCTGCTAACAAGCACACACAGCACACAGGCAGGCCTAGGCGTAGAATTCTTGGTTTACCTACTATTCTTGAATAATATTCTTGTATTTTCTAATGTTCAGGCTGCTAGAGCCCTAGCAAAGAATCTTAACTTAGTGTCTTAGCAAGGAACATTAAGCTTAAAACCTTCTACGCTTAATAACTATTCTATTAATAGGCCTATAATATTATTTAATAGCTTATTTTAAAGAGGAGACTTAGTAGTATATTAATATAATAAAAGTATAGTTTATTAAGCAGAGCTACTATTGTAGCAGGATTAGGAGTTGTTGTAGCTATTACAGCTATTAGGACTGTTAGAGCTGTTAGCTTGAAATTGGCTAGACATTGAATGCACATTGAATGACTGTTGTAGGCCTACAAGTCCTACTGTTGCCTACAGTACAATGCCACGATTTCCTGATTTCGACAACGGAAAAACTTTTCCCGATGTAGGCTTTAGCTTTGTAGACAATATAACGTACCTCACGGGCGAGTGGCCGGCCCGGGCGAGTGTCCAGATTTTGCCAAGACCACACCAAACTTCATACAACCCGCGATGTCTCAACGCAAAAAGGCTTAAAGCGTCTTAAAGGAACTAGATATACAGCTTGCAATCTAGGCTCTTAAATAAGACGCGACTCTTACTATTCCACGCGCTGCAACAATCTACAAGGTGTTAGAAAGAACGCTAAGACAATGACGTGCTAGAACACTCTTAAGACGCGATTGTAAGGTTAACTTAATAAAGCTAACAAGCACTGAAGAGGAGGTGATTGTGCAGCATGTTCTGAAGCTAGACGAGCGAGGATACCCACCCTAGCTTACTGATGTGGAGGATATGGCTAACTCTCTACTTACTGAGCGCCACTAGCCTCCTGTTGGCAAGAACTAGGCTAGCACGTTTGTTAAGCGTCGCCCAGAGCTCACAGTCAAGTTTAATCGAAAGTACGACTACAAGAGAGCCCTCTGCGAGGATCCTGAGGTGATCTAGGGCTAGTTCCACCTAGTGGAGAATACTAAAGCTAAGTATAGTATCCTAGATAAAGACACCTACAATTTTAACAAGTCTAGGTTTATAATAGGTGTTATATTAACAGGAGCTGTTGTTACAGGCTTAGAGTATTGTGGAAGACTAAAGACAGTATAGTAGGGCAACTAAGAGCAGACCAGCATTATCTAGGGTATTAACGTGTTAGGATAGAGTATCCTACCCTTTATTATCTTCTAAGGCAAGCACCACCTCTCTGCCTAGTATAAGGAGCTGTCTTTACCTCACAACTAGGTTATTACTGTCTCTAAGAACAGCTAGACTAATAACAAGCTTAGTATTAAGTAGCTGAAGCACTTTAATAAGCACACAAAGGAGCGCACTATTAGCAGCTATTAGCTGCTTATTCTAGACAGCCATAAGAGCCATAATTTAGTTAAGTTCTACTAGTACTGTGAAGAACACAAGATTGTTACCTTGTGTATGCCTCTACACTTATCGCACCTGTTGCAGCTGCTTAATGTAGGTTGTTTTGCCCTAATAAAGAAGGCCTATGGTTGCCAAGCTAAGCTGCTAATGCGCAACAAGATTACTTGCATCACAAAACTTGAGTTTTTACCATGCTTTAAAGGAGCTTTTGATGCCTCTATTACTAGGAGCAATATCTAGGGAGGATTTAGAGGTGCTGGCTTAGTCCCCTTTAATCTAGAGGATGTAATATCAAAGCTTGAAGTGTGCCTGTGTACTCTACTACTACCTACTATAGATAAGAGTACGTAGCACTCTTAAACCCCACAGAACACCCTAGAATTTAGGTCGCAATTAAAGCTTATTAAAGAGAGGATTTAACAACATAGCAATAGCTCTCTAACTTTAATAGTTAATGCTCTTAATTAGCTCACTAAGGGCGCAGAGATGATGGCGCATTTACTAGTTTTAGTGCGCAACCAGGTCGCAGAGCTTCAAGCTGCTAATGAGGCCGCCACACGCCATAAATCACACAAGAGGAAGCAGATCTAGAGGGAGGGGACTCTTACTGTTAGTAAAGGAGTGCGCTTAACTACCCTAAAGGAGTTTAAAGCCCGTGATGATAGGAAGAAGGCAAGCAAGAAGAGGCGCGTTAAACTAGGCACTTAGTCTTTACAACACTGTAGCAGGTGTAGTAAGGCAGGGCACAACGCGCGAACGTGCATAAAAGATGCGCAAGATACTGTAGATTAGTGCTGTGTACTGTAAGTTATAGTAACTTACAGTAACTTGCTGTAATATGCAAGAGAAGTTGAAGTTTGGTGTGGTCTTGGCAAAATCCGGTCACTCGCCCGGGCCGGCCACTCGCCCGTGAGGTACGTTAAACATTATTGTATAGGGACTGTCTACAGTAGACAACTACAGGAGACTTACAAACACCTACACGTAATATAAATAGTAGGTATCTAGATTTAGAGTAAGGTTTGCCCCTAAGAAATACTAGCTTATGCACTTTACTAGGTAGCAGAATAAGGGAGACAACCTCCTCTCTATAGTAATAGTAGGAGACTAGCTAGCTAAGATTATTATAATAATAAGGGTAACGTACTCCACGGGCGAGTCGCCCACACAGGCGAGTCGCCCACTTTTGCCAAGCCCCCACCAAACCACCCTTCCTACACTAATGCCTCCTCAACACCACCATTTAGACGCGTTAAAGGAAGCTCAGATACAGCTTGCGCTCCAGGCTCTTAAACAAGACTTAACTCTCTCTTAGCAACAAGCTACAGCTATCTACAGGGTTCCTTAAAAGACACTAAGCAACTAATACACAGGACAACCTTTACGCGCTAATTCTATAGCTAACTTGTAGAAGCTAGACAATAATAAGGAGAAGGTGATTATTAAACATGTCCTTAAGCTAGACTTGCAAGGATTTTCCCCTTAGCTCTTAGATATGGCTACTATAGCTAATTCTTTGCGCGCTAAGCGCAATCTAGGCCCTATTAGCACAAACTAGCCTAGTATATTTGTTAAGTGACACCTAGAGCTTAAAGTCAAGTTTAATTGCAAGTATAACTACAAGAGAGCTCTCTGTGAGGATCCTAAGGTTCTGCAGGGCTAGTTTAGCCTAGT